TCTCTCTCTCTCTTCTTCCAGAGAAGCGGCAGATGGTTCCCAACAGGCATATACCTAATAGTGGTGGGTTTGGGTTTGTGGTTTATAACCACCTAGTTAGTGTTTATGCCCAAAGATCTAGGATCAATGGAGCCTTGAACCCCAAAGTCTGAATGGTCCTGGAACATCAGATCCCTCTCACCTGGTACACAGTTGGCATGATACAGCCATTTTTCTTGCAGAGGGTACAGATCTCAGCAACTTCCCAGGAGGCATAGTTGTGTTGCAGGAAAATATTAAAAATGGCACCATCCTGCGCTATAAGGAGCAAGACACCAGCAGGCTGGCCGACCGTGCACCTGTGAGCAATAGCTGGCCTGTTCTCATCTTGTGGAGACTCTCTGACTCAGGGCTCCAAAATCTTTCCACCCAACTTGCTAAGTTCTCTCTGGCGGGTCGCTACCATGCCAGCCCCATGCTTCAAAACCCCCACGGCCTTTTGTGGTGCACATCTGGCATACCCACGGTTTTCAGCTGTACCTTCCTCTCTGGAATGCAGCCGAGCCTCCGTGTGAAGGAAAACACCACACAAACTTAGTTCAGAAACAATGGTAACTCAATTGCTGGGCACAACAACTAGAATCCTAATCTTGTAAGCAATATTAAATCTAAATCCTCCCGTGGCGAATCCTAGTGGATTTGCCATTGAAACCAGGAGACACTAGTAGCTACATCTTGTCCTTCCTATCCCTGTCCAAAAGCCCCTATCCCTATCCTGCCTCTTCTCTTCCCCTCTCCAACCCAGAAGTCCCACCTACTCGCCCAGTGATTAGTTCCTTTATTTGTTAGGAGATGGTTCACAAGAAGTCACTTGTGTATGTGATTCACTCATTGTCCACAGCCCCTCCTGGGAAAGTGGAATTAACATCAAAATTCAAGCAACATCAGTGCTATCCACCACATAGTTGGACAGACCAAACTTCATAAACTTGCCTTGTAAGGGAGAGGCTGTATCACAGCTCAGCTCACCCCAGAAGACCAGGAAGGGGAGACTGGGGGGGAGGGGCCTGGAGTGAGTCTGTGCCCAGCTCTGTGTGTGTTCCCAGCACTCACTCTCCTGGCAGGGTCAGGATGAAAGGATCAGAGGGCATCAGGGCCCTCCCTCACCTCCTGATGCAGCTGGTGGAAGGCCTGCAGTGTCTCCTCTATAGGAGTGTTGTGGTCAGGTAGGTGTAAGTAGAAGAGGTCCACCCAGGGACACTGCAGCCGCTTCAGGGATGTCTCCAGCTAGAATCAGATATTGTCAAGTTTCTGTGACTTCTCCAAGCTTGGAACAGACTTGGTGGCAATTTTCACTTCCGGGGAGAACAATAGAGGTTAAGTGTTTGCCCGGGGTGGTGGTGGTGGAAGTGGCAGTAGTTTGGGGAGTGGCTTGTGTATAAAGTGCTCACTGTGCAAGTGAGCAGGAGTTGGCAGGGCTGTATTAAAATTCCCTTGCTGGGGACAGAAGACAGGCAGACCAGCAGGTCTAGAGGAAATGGTGAACTCTAAGTTCAGCTGAAGAGAGACCTTGACTCAGAAAATGAGGTGGAAGAGATTAAAGAAGATATCAATTTCTGATTTCTACATGTATGTCAGCATGAGCAGGAGAACAAACGTGTGTATGCATGTACACACATAAACACACACACACACATACACACACACACACACACACACACACACACTGTGGTTTGAACAGGTATGGCCTCTACAGATTCTTGTGTTTGAATGCTAATAGTGCCATAGGCAGTGGCACTATTAGGAGGTGTGGCCTTGTTGGAGTAAGTGTGGCCTTCTTGGAAGAAATGTGTCACGGTGGAGGCAGGACTTTGAGATCTTAGAGGCTCAAGCTATGCCCCGTGTGAAACACAGTCTCCTGCTGCCTGTGGATCAAGATGCAGAATTCTCAGCTCCTTCTCCAGCACCGTGCCTGACCGCATGCCATCATGTTTCCCACCGTGATGATAATGGACAAAACTTCTGAAACTGTAAGCCAGCCCCAACTAAATGTTTCCCTTTATAAGAGTTGCTGTGGTCATAGTGTCTCTTTACAGCACCAAAACTCAAACTAAAACACCATTCCCCAGTAGGAGGAGGCCCGAAGGTCAGGATTGCAAGGTTATCCATATCTGTACAGTGAGTATGAGGGCCATCTGGCTGGGTGATGTATTGATGGTGTGTGTGTCTGTGTGTGTGCGTGTGTGTGTGTGTGTGTGTGTAGTGGGGTAGCAGATAGGGTAGCTTAGCACTGCCATTAGTAGCTGTGACTAGATTACTCAGCTTTTCACATCCCTGCTGTCTTAGGGTTTTACTGCTGTGAACAGACACCATGACCAAGGCAACTCTTAGAGGGACAATATTTAATTAGGGCCGGCTTACAGGTTCAGAGGTTCAGTCCATTATCATCATCAAGGCAGGACCACAGCAGCATCCAGGCAGAGATGGAGCAGGCAGAGCTGAGAGTTCTACATCTTCATCTGAAGGTTCCTAGCGGAATACTGGCTTCCAGGCAGCTAGGGTGAAGTTCTTAGAGCCCACGCCCACAGTGACACACCTACTTCAACAAGGCTGTACCTCCAAATAGTGCCACTCCCTGGGCTAAGCATTATCCAAACCATGACACCTACCAACTGTCAATAGGAATAAAAATGACAACAGCTTACAAAGAAGTCCCTAGAATTGTTCAGGCTTAGCTGACAGTGGACAGTATAAGTAGCTAGGGGACAACTACACATAGGACACTACCTGGATTTGGAGAAAGGGAGGCAGGGTAGAGCATGTGGGTCCATAGCAAGGAGATGGGACCCATCCTGGGGGCTCACTAGGCTCCCTCAGAATCTCATCTGAGTGAAAGAAAGAACATCAAGACACTCACTGACAGGAGGTACACCGGCTTTAAACCTCCATGAGCAGAAGGCCCTGGGTATAGCCGGGCGGTGGTGGCGTACACCTTTAATCCCAGCACTTGGGAGGCAGAGGCAGGTGGATTTCTGAGTTCGAGGCCAGCCTGGTCTACAGAGTGAGTTCCAGGTCAGCCAGGGCTACACAGAGAAACCCTGTCTCGAAAAACCAAAAAAAAAAAAAAAAAAGGAAGGCCCTGGGTGGAGTGACACCTGCCACCCCAGTTATGAGAGCACTGAGTCTAAGGCAGAGGACACAGGAAAAGAAAAAAGCCACAGACCAGAAGCAAAACAGCCCCGAAGTAGAGTCTTGACTTTAGACTAGGAGTTGTAGTCCAGAGCTCTGTGGTCATCTTAAGATGTTAGAAAGATGACCCCGAGTGTACTGTAAATGATGGGCAGGTCTGATCACAGGAGGAGGAAGGTGCCAAAGGAACTGGGGACAGACACAGGAAGGCTTCGCTGGGGGCCTATGAGAAGGAAAGTCAGGGCTAGCTACAGACTGTGTTCATCAAGACAGACCAGTGCTGGGCCATCTGTGTGAGTCCCTGCTCCTCTCCCTGCCCCTGCTGAGAAGCCCAGGTGAATGGTTGGAGGATGGCTGGATGGATGGATGGATGGACGGGTGGATGGATGGATGGATGGATGGATGGATGGATGGATGGGTAGATGGACCGATGAACAGATGGGTGGATGGATGGATGAGTGAGTGGGTGGGTGGATGGATGAATGGATGGGCAAACAGACAGACAGATGGATGAGAGGAATGTCCTACACTTGGAAAGTCTTGCTAGCAGTCTAAAGGCTGTCAGGGGATCCCTAGCAACCCATAAGGGCATAGGTTTGAAGAACTGTTAGTGTGGAAGTTTTCTTTCTTTAAGAACATTACATTACGAGGTGACCCGAGGGGCTTCTGAGTGTTTGAGCTGTTGACTTAGGCCGTTGTTTCGGCCCAGAGTTCCCGCAGTAATGGCGAGTCAGTCGCAGGGCATCCAGCAGCTACTGCAGGCCGAGAAGCGGGCGGCAGAGAAGGTGTCCGAGGCCCGCAAGCGAAAGAACAGGAGGCTGAAGCAGGCCAAAGAAGAAGCCCAGGCTGAAATTGAACAGTACCGCCTGCAGAGGGAGAAGGAGTTCAAGGCCAAGGAAGCTGCGGCACTGGGGTCGCATGGCAGCTGTAGCAGTGAGGTGGAGAAGGAGACCCAGGAGAAGATGACTATCCTCCAGAACTACTTTGAGCAGAACAGGGATGAAGTCCTGGATAACCTCTTGGCCTTTGTGTGTGACATCCGGCCAGAAATCCATGAAAACTACCGCATAAACGGATAGGAGGCAGAAGCGCCTGTCTGTGGGTTGGCATGAGATCTGCCCCCACAGAACAGGAAACCTCCACAGAGCTTGAGTTCTGTTCTGGAAGGCATTAAATTATTTCTCTATGCTGTTGTAGGACCCTTCACTTTTTGAGAGTATCAAATCTAGCTTTTTGTACAGACTTATTACATACCTGAAGTTTCATCTTCTTACCTTGTGTGTCTTTAAGGAATATATCTCACCTCTTTTTCTGTGTGTTTGTGCAAGTAATGGGTATCAATATTGACTTTTCTTTTATTAGTCTACTAGAAAAAAAATTCTTTGAAGAAAGAAAGGGATTAAATCGTTCCCTTCTACTTTCTTAAAGGTCAGGGGCGTTATCTATGAAAAAGTAGTAAATAGCTATTTGTAACTCCTATGAAGAAGCAGCCAGCCTTATAGTACTCTATCCTGGATAATTTAGGACAGTGAATATGCTTGTTCAGGCTGCTGTTAGTGTATCTTAACCCAAATCACTAGATGCTAGGACTCAACTTGTTACATGTTATTTGGTGTGCTTGTAATCATTTAAAGTAAAATTTTGTCTTGCCTTTCAAAAAAAAAAAAAAAAGAACATTACATTACAGAGCTGGAGAGCTAGCTCAGTGGTTACAAGCACTAGCCGCTCTTCCAGAAGACCTGGGCTCAATCTCAGTACCCACATGGTAGCTCCCAGCCATCTGACACTCCAATCCCAGGGGATCTGACACCCTTTTCTGGGTTCCTCAGGTACCAGGCATGCCTACTGCAAAGCCTGATCTACTTGCTGAGCTCAGAGCCCATGAGGTGAAAGGACTCAACTGCAAGCTTTTCTATTAACCCCAAAGATGGAGAAGGACCACCGACCTAAGTCATCATGGCCAAGTTAATTAAAGGAATTAATTATTTTTTTTTTTTTTTTTTTTTTGGTTTTTCGAGACAGGGTTTCTCTGTGTAGCTCTGACTGTCCTGGAACTCACTCTGTAGACCAGGCTAGCCTCGAACTCTCGAACTCAGAAATCCACCTGCCTCTGCCTCCCAAGTGCTGGGATTAAAGGCGTGCGCCACCACCGCCCGGCTAAGGAATTAATTATTAAAGCAAGCCTTTGTATTCCTGTACATGGCTGCCTCCCCCTAAGGTGGGGTTTGAGAGGTCAACAGGAAAGTTTTCACCAAGCTATGCTTAAACATGCCTAAAATAAACTCGAAGTCAGACTCTCAACATTTAAAGCAACAGTGCCTGTTACCACTGTGTAGAACACGCTCCCTTCTTGCCCCCAGGTATCCTTACTAGTCCAGCCGTGGTGGATGAAGAGACTCCCACAGGCTACATCATCCCACTTCCAGATGTCAGTTGTGGGGACACACCTCTGTAAAGCTGAAGCCACTACTAAACCAACAGGCACCCAGAACTTGGGAGCAAAGTCCAAGACCCTGAACCAGGCTGCAATAAGAAGACAGATCTATTGCCTGGTCCAAAGTCTTGCTGGGGTTTGCTGGGGCTCTGCTGACTCCTAAAACAGGGAGCCCATCAGATGATGGGTTCAGAGGCACCTACCTGCTACTTAGAGAGAGGCTGCACAGTGTGAGATTCCCAGTGTTCTCAAAGTCCCAGAGGCAGGCTTGCCACATGGAATTTGGCAGAGCCCGAGTTGGTCTATTGTGGGGACAGGGTCCTAGACCACTTTACTAGAAGGGTGGAAACTGCGGAGTCTGTGTTCTCAGAGCTCTTGGGTGGACAAGGTGCCACCACCGTGCCAGGAGCTGGAAGAAGCTGTACTGGGGAGGAATCAACTCTGCTCATTGCGGGTGGATACCAGGCATGACCGTTATCTTTGCAGCTGCTGCTGCCCAGCCTGAGTCCCAGGCCGCCTAGGATGGCCTCGGACTGACCATCTGCATACACGGAGGCGGTGTCTATCTCGCGTTGCTGCGCTGCAGGAAGGCATGCACGGACATCGCCCCGCAGGCCGCATCCAGGCTGTTCTCTGTCTCCATGACACCCAACACAGTGGCGGACAGGATCTGCGTCAGTGGCCAGTCCATGGCGGTGCTGAGGAAGAGAATCGGAGAGAGATGCAGACTATTTATGAAGACTGAAGCCAGTAGCTGGCTGCTGTAGGGGTTCCCTGTCATCCTCCTCATTAAGTAGCAGCCTTCCGTGACCACTCCCATGGGAGGCAGGGCTAGCGGAGAAAGGGCAGGAAAGCCTTGGCTAGTGCACAAGACTTCTGCAGAAATGAGAACCCTCTACAACTGTGCCACCTAACGGGAGGTCGGTGGCAGGTCCCCATGAGCTAGGTCAGAAGTTGCAGACACCTCTAGGCTTCTGCCTCTCTCTGGCCCATTCATGAGCTGCCCTGGGGTCTTCCTCCTAGAAGGAGTTTAGCATGTGGGTTAATCCTGGGGTGCTGTCTCTAAAGTGGGGTTTGCTGGGAGATCTAGAGAGGATCCCCATGGAAGGACAGCAGAGAAGCCCTGTCAGCCTTGACTTTTGTTAATCCAGGAGAAGATACCCTCAAACTTCCAGGCAGTACAGACTGTTCAGAGAAACGAAAGTGGAGCGAATCTCAAGTAGCAAAGGTTCACTACAGACAGTCTTTGAGAACACTTGTGCAGTAGGGGATTTGGATTCACACCAAATGGAGACCAAATGGAAATTGTGACGTGGGGGTAAATGGATAAAGTTTTCCCGTCATAACCTTTTTTAAAGACAGTTGGCGTCGGGGGCGGTGGTTCTTGCTTGTAATCCCTGCACTCTTGAGGCTGAGGCAGGAAGCTTGCCGTCAGTTCAAAGTCAGAGGGTTATATAGCAAGTACTGGGCCAGCATCGACCAAATAGCAGAGGGTGTGGTGTGCTGTAGAAACTTTTAATACAATCCGCAGTTTCTACTCAGCTTTTGACAATTTAGTTCCCAGATAAAAGACACACAGGTTTTACTATTTACAATAAGCCTTAAACAGCTGGGCAGATATTCTGAGTTATTACTTACTATGTTTCATCTGGGCCACTCTTGACACCAATTGTCCAGCCCTGGTGGCCATGCATTCATAACTCTCCATCTTTGTTTACCAATCATAAATAACGGAGGGTGAGTTCACATAGTGTCAGTAGAATCTACCTGTGGACTCTCTCATCTCTGGGCAACCACATCCTGGGGGCACAAACTTAGCATTACACTACACAGCAAAAGCCCACACCTCAACAGTAGTGGCCCACCCCTGTGATTCCAGCACTCCAGAGGCAGAGGCTGGCAAATCAACGCAAGTTAAAAGTTGTCCTGGGCAACATAGGGACGGCAAGTCTGCCAAGCCTGTATAACAAGACTGTTTCAAAAGGCAAAAGAGGGCTCAGATTATAATTGAGCTGATTGAATGCTTGCCTGGTCCTGGGTTCAGGACCCAGTGAGTAAGGTAACTCCATCTTGTCTTGATTTCATTTTGTTTCCGTAGACCGGTGGTTCTCACCCTTCCTAATGTTGTGGTCACCCCCAGCCCTCAGATTGTTTTCGTTGCTACTCCATAACTATAATTTTGCTACTGAACCATAATGTCAATATCTGAAATCCAGGATACCTGATATCTGACCCCTGTGAAAGGGTCCTTCAAAGTCCCCAAAGGGGTGATGACCCGTGAGAACCTCAAGCCTTATATCTCTTCAACAGTAATGTTTCCTCACAACACATTAGAGCTTCCCATGACGTTGTATATGGTCCAGAAGTATTAATCAAAAATAATTATTATGTATACAAACTTAACATTAACTCATGAAGTTATAAGTAAAAAAAAAAAACAGCTGTCATCTAATGTCTGAAATATTATGAAAAAAAAATTACTGTGGTCTTCCGGAATGAGTGTTTCAAGGTATCTCTGACCTTCATTTAACTTGGAACTAAATTATGATCTATGCTTTCAAAAACATTATAACTCTGAGCTTTTGTAACTCTGAGGCACAAACCCATTCTTCGTCACCAGCCAATAAAGAACTCGTATACTTACTTCTTTAAAAAATATTTATTTTATGTATATGAGTACACTCACTTTTATTTATTTATTTATTTATTTATTCACTCATTTAATTTATATGAGTACACTGTCACTGTCTTCAGACACACTAGAAGAGGGCATCGGATTCTATCACAGATGGTCGGAGCCACCATGTGGTTGCTGGGAATTGAACTCAGGACCTCTTGAAGAACAGTCAATGCTCTTAACTGCTGAGCCATCCCTCCAGCTCCTGTAAAAATCAATCTTTAAAAAAAGAAATGTAATGGTTAATTACAGAAAGGAAATACTTTTCTCATTCCTCAATGTAATATAAAATCAGTATATCATTGGATTGGATTG